GACATAGAGATGATTGACAGCTGAGGTGACCAATCACAGAGCAGCATTCATTAACGGTAGAACAAGTGGAGTCCGGAATATGAGATGTCCTAAATAAATAAAAACACTAGGATTATACAGTTAATACATCTGGAACATTCTTAAAGAGTGGCGAATTGGAAAAAAACATGTAATATATCAGCAAATATTGTAATGTATTAACAATATAGAAAGAGGTATTATTTAACTTGTAAATCAGATTCAGAAAACTCTTTTCATAATGTGGGAAACAAGGTTTTGTGACAGTAAAATATGAAATAAATATAAATATGACAAGTTAAATAAAAAATTTGCAATCTAAATTTAAATTATGAATAATACCACAAGAAATGAAGTTAAAATTGCACATTGTACTACAATATATAACACGTTTGTTAACGTTTACTACATCTCAGAACCCAATTCAAAGTATTGGTCTTCACAGAGCTGTCCATGGCCAAGCCCCAGCCTATCAATGACCTGATCCACCCTCACAGCACAACCCGGGCCCAAGGCCGGATTAACCATATGGGCAACCTGGGCAAGTGCCCAGGGGCCCTTGAGCAAAGAGGGCCTTCAGTTTTGTTTGTTTTTTATCTTAAAAGTGCCGAAATAGACAACCACAAGGAACGGTGGCGGCGGTCACGGAGGATGTTGTTGAGCTAGCGAGCAATGTTAGCCTTGAGCCTTGGATTTTGATGACCTAATCACAGACTTTTCAAAGAGAAAGGTAAGGAAGAAACACTTCTAAAAGGTAAGATCCACTGTCTCTCACACACACTCATTCTCTCTCACACACACACACACACACACACACACACACACACACACACACACACACACACACACACACACACACACACACACACACACACACACACACACACACACACACACACACACACACACACACACACACACACACACACACACACTATCTTCCATCACATATACTGATCACTTAGTTGAGCAACCACACAATTTCACTACATATTTTACTTTTGTAACTCTCAATGTTTGTGACTAATATAACTCCTCGTGTTCTTGTACAGCCAGCCAGTCATATGTTGGCATTAAGTGGGGCGCTGCTCTGAGGTTTTGAGTGATATTACCTAGGTCTTCTGGAGCCATACACTGTCTTGAGATCTTATCCATTGTATCTTTGTCTTGTGATTTCTGACTGAAAGGGCAAAAGGCTAGACCTACTTTGGTTGAACTATGTGGCTGCGTCCCTGCTTTTGACAAATAGGTGTGCGATTTGACATGCCAGATTGACATGTTGGTATGGGATAGGCGTGGTGTTACTTGTTGGTACGTGGGTTTGGGTTTGGAGCAGACTGGCCATCGGGAATACCGGGAGTTTTCCCGGTGGGTCAGATTGCCGTGCATTAAGTGGGCCTGTCTGTCAATTAATCCCCGGGCAACTTTTTCCCCCCAGTCCGCCACAGGTTGGGGGGGGGGGCATGAGCGCTCAGTGTCCAGGGGCCCCTGGAGTTACTAATCCGGCCTTGCCCGGGCCCTGTCCTCTGAGCAAGGCCTCCTAAGAGTGCCCCGAACCAGGCTAAAGGGGGGCCGTGTGGTGGCTCCAAGGCTATGGAACAAACTCCCCCAGAAACTAAGAGCCTCTGCCTCAACAGAGAATTTTAAGGGGCAGTTAAAGACCCACCTTTTCCGACAGGCCTTTGGGGCGCCGGAGGAGGTGAGTTAGTAGCTGTCTTTCATATGTGTTACCTGCTGTTGTTTTATGCCTTTTATAGTTGTATTTTGAATTGTACTGTAAAGCACTTTGTACATCCGTGTTGAGAAGGGTGCTATATACATAAAGTTGTACTTACTTACATTTAAATATTTCGCAATTTCTGTGCACCAAAGGGATGGAAAAGTGTTTTCTTATTCATCCACATATTCCCAAATATTTTTGGATAGATATGCAATACTTTATATCTGGAGAAAAGTGGTCATGCTTTGATCATTTTGTGAATTTTATTTATTGGACAATTATTTTGTATTTTATTACAATTTGTTGTGATATTTTACAAATTGCACATGGATTAAATGAAAAGTACCAAAAATAGAATCTACTTTACCATATTAATAATGGCTATCAATAGCTTTTACAGTTACAAGGCTTTAGAGCTGTGTATTCACAGTCCTGTGTCTCCATCTAGTGGCGAAACATGAGAACTGTCACCTGATACATTTAGACTGACTGCAGGGGTGGGAGAAGTACTCACATCTTGTTCTTCAGTAAAAGTAGAAGTACTCAGATCTTGTACTTGAGTAAAAGTAGAAGTACTCACATCTTGTTCTTCAGTAAAAGTAGAAGTACTCAGATCTTGTACTTGAGTAAAAGTAGAAGTACTCAGATCTTGTACTTGAGTAAAAGTAGAAGTACTCAGATCTTGTACTTGAGTAGTAGAAGTACTCAGATCTTGTACTTCAGTAAAAGTAGAAGTACTCACATCTTGTACTTCAGTAAAAGTAGAAGTACTCAGATCTTGTACTTGAGTAAAAGTAGAAGTACTCAGATCTTGTACTCGAGTAAATGTAGAAGTACTCAGATCTTGTACTCGAGTAAAAGTAGAAGTACTCAGTTCTTGTACTTCAGTAAAAGTAGAAGTACTCGGATCTTGTACTTGAGTAAAAGTAGAAGTACTCGGATCTTGTACTTGAGTAAAAGTAGAAGTACTCTGATCTTTTACTCGAGTAAAAGTAGAAGTACTCAGATCTTGTACTTGAGTAAAAGTAGAAGTACTCAGATCTTGTACTTCAGTAAAAGTAGAAGTACTCATATCTTGTACTTGAGTAAAAGTAGAAGTACTCAGATATTGTACTTGAGTAAAAGTAGAAGTACTCAGATCTTGTACTTGAGTAAAAGTAGAAGTACTCAGATCTTGTACTTGAGTAAAAGTAGAAGTACTCAGATCTTGTACTCGAGTAAAAGTAGAAGTACTCAGATCTTGTACTTCAGTAAAAGTAGAAGTACTCACATCTTGTACTTGAGTAAAAGTAGAAGTACTCAGATCTTGTACTTGAGTAAAAGTAGAAGTACTCAGATCTTGTACTTGAGTAAAAGTAGAAGTACTCAGATCTTGTACTTGAGTAAAAGTACTCAGATCTTATACTTGAGTAAAAGTAGAAGTACTCAGATATTGTACTTGAGTAAAAGTAGAAGTACTCAGATCTTGTACTTGAGTAAAAGTAGAAGTACTCAGATCTTATACTTGAGTAAAAGTAGAAGTACTCAGATCTTGTACTTCAGTAAAAGTAGAAGTACTCAGATCTTGTACTTGAGTAAAAGTAGAAGTACTCGGATCTTGTACTTGAGTAAAAGTAGAAGTACTCTGATCTTTTACTCGAGTAAAAGTAGAAGTACTCAGATCTTGTACTTGAGTAAAAGTAGAAGTACTCAGATCTTGTACTTCAGTAAAAGTAGAAGTACTCAGATCTTGTACTTGAGTAAAAGGAGAAGTACTCAGATATTGTACTTGAGTAAAAGTAGAAGTACTCAGATCTTGTACTTGAGTAAAAGTAGAAGTACTCAGATCTTGTACTTGAGTAAAAGTAGAAGTACTCAGATCTTGTACTCGAGTAAAAGTAGAAGTACTCAGATCTTGTACTTCAGTAAAAGTAGAAGTACTCACATCTTGTACTTGAGTAAAAGTAGAAGTACTCAGATCTTGTACTTGAGTAAAAGTAGAAGTACTCAGATCTTGTACTTGAGTAAAAGTAGAAGTACTCAGATCTTGTACTTGAGTAAAAGTACTCTGATCTTTTACTCGAGTAAAAGTAGAAGTACTCAGATCTTGTACTTGAGTAAAAGTAGAAGTACTCAGATCTTGTACTTCAGTAAAAGTAGAAGTACTCAGATCTTGTACTTGAGTAAAAGGAGAAGTACTCAGATATTGTACTTGAGTAAAAGTAGAAGTACTCAGATCTTGTACTTGAGTAAAAGTAGAAGTACTCAGATCTTGTACTTGAGTAAAAGTAGAAGTACTCAGATCTTGTACTCGAGTAAAAGTAGAAGTACTCAGATCTTGTACTTCAGTAAAAGTAGAAGTACTCACATCTTGTACTTGAGTAAAAGTAGAAGTACTCAGATCTTGTACTTGAGTAAAAGTAGAAGTACTCAGATCTTGTACTTGAGTAAAAGTAGAAGTACTCAGATCTTGTACTTGAGTAAAAGTACTCAGATCTTATACTTGAGTAAAAGTAGAAGTACTCAGATCGTGTACTTGAGTAAAAGTAGAAGTATTCAGATCTTGTACTTGAGTAAAAGTAGAAGTACTCAGGTCTTGTTCTTGAGTAAAAGTAGAAGTACTCAGATCTTATACTTGAGTAAAAGTAGAAGTACTCAGATCTTGTACTTGAGTAAAAGTAGAAGTACTCAGATCTTGTACTTGAGTAAAGGTAGAAGTACCAGAGTGTAGGAATACTCTGTTACAGTAAAAGTCCTGCATTCAAAATGTTCCTCAAGTAAAAGTAGAAAAGTATTCTCATCAAAATATAGTGAAAGTAGCGACAGTAAAAGTAGTCGTTGTGCAGATTGGTCCATTTCAGAATAATATATATGATGTGTTTTATAATGATTGATCATGAAAGTGTTCTCAAAGCTGGTAAAGGTGCAGCTAGTTTGAATGACTTTGTATACTGCAGGGTAGCTGGTGGATTTACTCCAGGTGGAACTAAAGTCTGATTCAACACTTGATTAGATTTCACATCATTCATCCAGATCTGTAAAGTAACTAAAGGTATTAAATACATGTAGTGGAGGAAAAGTACACCATTTACCTCTGAACTGAAGTGGAGTAGAAGTACACAGTACCTTAAGTACAGTACTTGAGTACATGTTACTTTACACCTCTGTTGTTTGGGGTCCCACAGAGTGCAGTATGGGTCCTTTCTTCTTATCCTGAAATCTAAAAGTCATCTTTAGGAGATCTGACATGTTTCTCAACAGTGTCTGGTAAGCCTCCTTCAAA